TTAAATATGCTCCGACTCAACATGTCTCACGCCCGAGCATCTATAAAATGTGTAGCTTTTTGTGTACTAAAAATAGTCAATTTTGTATCAATGTCTTGAAAATTTTGCAAATTCTCGTCTTGGTCTGAATTGACCCTAATGGTCAGTTCATACTAGCACAGTCGAAGCGAATTTTAGGAACAGTAACATAGTAAATTCACCCTTATCTCCTCAAAGTAGTGCACATTTTCCTTCCGAGATAAATATAAGATGCACGAATCCTGATAAATCAGCTTAGTAGGGATATGTACATTACGTTGCGGAGATAAGGGTGAATTTGCAATAACTGTTTATAAAATTAACTTGGACTGGTCAGTCGTTGGGTGAGTCCTAGCTTTAGACTTACAACAGCTACAAATTTCTCCTTCTGGCTACAATTATTTAAAGGTCCTACTAAATCTTTATGTATAGAAAAGATACGTTTTCCACTGTGGCCCCTCGGAGGGCACGCACTTTATGAATTCACCATAACTTCCCAACGTTGACAGCGGGTTTGTATAACTTTACCGATTCTTAAAAGTTTATCCAAAAATGAATTTGCTTATTTACGCTCTCACGCCTAAACTGCTGAATCGATTATGATGAATTTTGCTATAAAGATAGATGGAACCTAATGAAAGGCATTAGGGCTACTTTTGTCCTTATTTTTGAAGTAAGTCGCAGATGACCTAAACAGAGACACAGAGTTAGGATTGGCGAAATCCTTAGGAGAGTCACTAGACCTTAATTGACTTAATAACGCCTAATTTACTAGAACTATAGCGCTTATCGAGGAGCTCGATGGCGCAAGTGGTTAGCGCGTACGGCTACGATTGTTGAACTTAGCAACTTTCGCAGTGGTCGGTCATTGGATGGATGACCAAAAATTACTATCTCGAGCTACTCCGTGCTTCGGAAGGCACGTTAAGGTCCCGGCTGCATCTGCAGTCGTTAGCACCCACCAATCCGCACTGGGCCCGCGTGGTGGGTCATGGCCCAATCTCCCCCATCCATAGGGAAGGCTTGTGCCCCAGCAGTGGGGACATTAATAGGCTGATGATGATGATAGCGCTTATCAAGAACTTTCCGGCTCCAACGGCCATCGGTTCTGCGGCTAATGTGACCAGCCCACTGCCACTTCAGTTTGCTAATTCGGTAAACGTAGTGTAGGACGCCCTGAAACAAGATGGGATTATGATATTCGTAGGCTGGCTGGAATGGGCTGGCTGAGAGTAGCACAAATCGGGAGCAGTGGCGTGCATTAGGGGAGACCTATGTCCAGCAGTGGACGAACATGGGTTGATGATGATAGCGCTTATCTGGGCAAGTAATCTTCACCTTACAGAAGACTACAGTAAAACAATAGAACCTTAAGTTCTTGTTATGGTTCTTTTGGCAAGTTCCAGGGTTCCACGGGGTTGGTCATGGGGTCAGCAACACGCGAGGTATGTTTTATATAGAGGTGGCGAACAAAAGATATAATTATAGAAAATAAATTTTACATGAACTGTATAAAACTGAATGACATACCTACAGTGAGGTTTTGGCATGGTTTTTAATCTATAAATCTAGTAATTTTTAATCTGTTTTAGGTGGTTTTGATTGAGAAATATTTTAGATTTAAATTAACTGGTCCGAAACCTATGTAGGAAGGCCAAAGGGGAAGATCTCCCTCCGAGCTGGGTGATGGTGCAGCCCGACTGATGTTGGTCGGGCATCGTATATATGAAGTGTTTGGCTCCGAATTTCTCTTGCGCGATGTAGGCTTCCATACGTTGTGAACGCAGCGCCATCTCTTAAGGAGGCGAGTGACTATTTCCTCTATGTTCATTATATGTGGGGCATGTAGATGTCGCCGCCACACCTACGGGCTGTAAAAAAAAGTAGTGACCACATGCTGCTGGCGATGGCTGGCGGACAAAACGGTAATTATACCGTTTTGTTCGCCAGCTCCTCATATTTTACCGCAAGCGATCTATAGACTAAGGCGTCTGGTTACCATCAGGTAGAGCATAAAATACCTATGCCCTTTAACTAAATCTAAATATTCTGCAAAAGGTGCTTATATGTAAATAAAAATATCATTGTTTTCTTTCAAAGAGTGTATTCCTTAAATTTACTTAGAGTATCCTATCTTATAATTACAACAAAATAGAAAAAAAAGAATGGTTTGTAACTCCGAAGGTCATACAAACCAACAACAATCAGTTGTCACATCAAAACCTATCTGGTTAGAAAAAAAAATACCAGGGATTAGTTGATGCAGTATTCAAATATTCATGTTTAATTAACTATGATGGTTGTCAAGACTAAACGAAGCATCTTTGTTTAAAAACACGCCTAGTTAAAGCTAGGTATAACAATAGAGTAGGGGAAATATAGACTCTACTACAAGTGGAAGTGTCCCTCTAATAGAAAGAGAAAGAAGATGGGAGACCGCTAGCTTTCTCCCTCCAATCGTGCATGCGCATTGGCAACCGTAAGCTTATTACTCTTTCGATGTCTGCATCTGAGATACAGGTCTCCCAGTTCGGGTGCAGATGTATTTTTATGCAGTTGGTTGATTGTAATATTCTATAAAATTTTGTGAATTTTTTTGGTGCCAATAAATTATTAATACTTTTATTATCGACGCGAGGTGCAAACTTACCTTGGTCGAGTTGTAGGTATAAACAATGATGGTATTGGATGTAATGCCATTAGATGCCATGTATCACAAGAGAGAGATTTTTCGAGTGTGTATGCTGTTGGTCGCAGATGACCAGCGTCACCGGGTTTGGGGACGGCGAGATCCTAAGGGGACCTCAAGCCGAGAATTGGCGAGTGCCTCTAGAGGTATTCTAGGCGGATGGCATCTCCTCACGGGGAGAGTCTCCTCTCCGTCTGGAGCCTCTAGACCACGAGCAGCTGAGGGGATCGGCTCAACTAGAGGGCGTCTCCGAGACTCGGACCTCGGCTCTAGTTAGCCGTTGTCGAGGGGGCGGAGAAAAAGCCAAACGGCTGGGGCACAGGCCTTCCCAATGGGTGGCAAAGGGAGATTGGGCCATGACCCACCACGCGGGCCCCGTACTATTATCCACGATATGTAGTAGATATTTTTTGGGAAAGCTTCCGTGCAGTTCATACGGTAACTAGGCGAGTATATAATTAAAGTGAAGCATACAGGTTATTTATTTATTTAAACTTTATTGCAACATAGCAAATGGCGGACATAATGCCATAAGGCATTCTCTACCAGTCGACCAGTAAGAGATAAGAGAAGAGAGGTTAATCTGGAAAAGACAGCTAATATCATAATTATTATCCCAACTGGTGGACCTGGGCATGTAGATGGTAGAATTAGTCATACTAAATTCACACATGCTGTGTTAAATAATAGAATATTAAGGCAGGTTAACAATACGCCAGATTGCAGTACATTTAAATGAGTCTACTTAAAAAACGTGCCAGTATGAAATATAACTAAATCTACAATACGTTCTGCCTGCAATACGTAAAAAATATTAAACTCTGATTTGGGAAGAGATTGCCTCTTTCCATTATAGTTGGGCTGTCCTAGTGAAGAATGAAGTATGGAGCTCTGACATGATTACTAAAGTTAACTTTAAAAGACATTTTCTCAAATCATATCGGAGCTCCTTACTGTATTCATCACCAGGATGGCAGTTGCCAAAATATATATTTAAAAATTTTTGATGAGGCAACACAGTAGTTTAAACGTGCACAGTAGTTTAAGACATTTTCTTTAATATGCATCACTTTCAAATGAATGCTCAGGCCTGTATGCTTCAAATAGATAACAATATACCTTAATACTTATGTTAAAAAATTTAAAATACAAAAACAATACTAAAAAGTAGGTGAAGAGTACTAAGTATAGTAAATTTACTGGAACAGATGGCTCTAGCAAGTTTTAGTGGTAAATTGCTAGTTATTAACAAAAAATACCACACCAAATTGACAGAGAAATCACGTAACAAAAAAGACATACAATCAATTTGACAACCTCCTTTTTGTAGATGGTTGTTTTAATAATATCTATAAAGCCTCAATGACACAGGGCAAATTTAGAAGCTACAAGCCAGCGAGTTCACTAGTAACTTGTCAACCTTCCTCGTATCATCGAGTAGCAGATGGTAAAAAAGCTGATGACAGGGGGCGACTTCACAAGCTGTTAGCAAACTCGCTGGGTTGTAGCTTGTAAACTCGCCCCGTTCATCGAGGCTTTATGATGAAATAGAAAGGTCACACTTATTAATCATAATTTAACATTTTCTACACAATCAGATAAAATGAGCAATTGTTAGTATAGTCATCATTCCTCTAGTACAATATGTTTTGTATCAGAGTACTTTTAGTGCCTGAACATACTATATACAGCAAAATCTACAGGTGCAATGTGCGTTTAGGATGTTTTTTGGGTCGTTTAGAATCAGTAAGTGCTACATATGTTCGTAAAGCAGTGTTAACCTCGCATGTCATTACCAAATTGACCCAAAAATATATTTTTTGTCGGTTCATGTGCACAGAAACTAAAATAATTAAAAAACTTAAACTTGAGATATTTATACATAAAAATATGAATTTTAGAACAAGCTTAACTTACTTATGAGATTTCTAAGTTCTAATCAATTTCTTCAGTCTGAACAAGTTAAATATTAAAGGGACTCTTAAAATATTAAGAGTTCTATTTAGCAACTTGCATATTTGCTAATTTTTTTAGACTTTAATCATGTCGAAAATTTGATTTGAGAAACTATTATATTATCTTTACTTTGGCGATAGCCAAATTCTTATATGCACATGGTACCAACACAAGTTTAGAAAACATTAATATTATTCCGACAAAAGATGACCATACTTAATATACCTATGTTATTGATTTGAATTTTTAGAAGTTAATCATATTGTATGGACATTCTGTAAATGGTCACATCTACAGTGAAGTTCGAAACAAAAACTATACTTGTTGAATTTGAATATTACTTATTACCTAAGTAACAGAAAATCATTTATAGAGAGTGAATTAGCTCTTAATATTAATTTGTTTCAATGGATAATCTTATTTTAAGATTTACAGGTGCAGAAAGTCTTTACCACACATACTCAAAACACTTTGCCTTGGAGTCACATTATAATAGAATTCTTTTTTCAAAGTCTCCTGTTTTGGGCATAGAATAGGCATTCCTTCCCAAACAGTCCTAATAATCTTGTAACAGCAATTTAAACCTAATCACTCTGTCCTGCAGCTTGGCGTAGTAATACATATATTTTCTCCTTGATCCAATCTTTATTGTATGGAGCATATGTGTTTGTTGATTTTTGGTACACTAGGCAGCTCAGGTCAGCAAGCTAAAAGAATTGAAAATCACATAAATAATGGATTTTAACCTCATACTTGCAATATAACAAATATAAATTTTCTAATACTTGTTGGTACATCAGTCTTGGATATCCAACATTAATTTATTTAAAACAGTTGCAGGAAGGATTTAAGTAGTAGGTATCTTAAATTTTTTGTGTGCAATAAAGAGTATAATAATATTCCTAAATACATACTGGTAAATACTAGACTTAGATAAATTCATGAAAAACTTGTCACAAATGCCACACAATGTTTAAAAGTTTCAAATTACCAACTGTAGATTTTTAGAGTCAAGGTCACCCAAACAATTGAGCATCTGTCAATAATATACAAGGAAAATACCACGTGAAAATGCAGGAGGGTAAAATATACTTAACTCACCTGATCAACGAAATCAAACAATTGGGAAATATCGTATGTGATGGTTGGTGTATTTGGATTTCGCCTCTTGAGATGCTCTTCATATATCTTGCAAACACCCTCCATACAGTCGTTGACGCTTTCATAGTCTGAGTATGTCCTAGTTTCGGGCCTTGGACCAGGTTGAACCAGCAAAATAGTGTGAGACTGAAAAATGTATGCATCATAACCTATAATTGCCGCCATACTTTTAAAGTAGATTTTACAAGTAAATTATACATTCTAGACGTACGTACCATTTTGAATTATCTTGTTGTAACGCGTAAAACTAGAGAAACCGTCAAAGATTTCTAATTTTACAAGAAATATGTTTTCGAGCAATATCTGTTTGAAATTGTGTATAGGTACCACAGAGCAAGCTAGCAAAAGTAAACCCGATTATCCGACCGAAGTGGAATGATCAGTGTTGCCAATACCTGCGTCGTGATTCGGACGATTCGAAATCTGAAAAGGGACAGTTTTTTGAGAAAAGGACGGCTGCAGAAATATTATACTAAAGGCAGAACTATATTTATCTTACGTGTTGTGTTGCGACGATGCGATCTGCTTCATACAATTAGTCGCGATGTGTCGACAGCGTTCTCACTGTAACCAAACTAAATGTATGAATATTTAAGGTACTGTAACCAAACTAAATGTATAAATATTAAATAATTATGATTATTTAATATTTTAAGGTTTCTCTACAAAAAAAAAACCTATGGCTATTATCCATTTCGGTACCCAACAAAATTTTTACTCGGACATCTCGGTTTCAATTCCCTCGAGGTGCGAAGACTCGTCGACCAACTAACCACCTGTGTGAAAACGCTTAAAGGATCTGTTGATTGCCTCCACTTGCACAATCTTTTGTGTATTCTGTTTGTCCCGGACAAACCTGGGCTTCCACCGGAACGCAGGCGTGGTCCTCCTCGGCAACATAATCTCTTCCACGAAAACAGGGGTCACACCGTGGCGCGTGCGATGTCACCTTTGGTTAGATCATTGCGTAACCTCAATGCACTCCGGGACGCCAACACTGAATTTGACTTTTCTTTTGACAGTTGGTCTACTATCAAGTCAGCATTATTATGTTATTGTGAAAGTCTGACGGATCAATGGAGCAATACTGTTTGCGCTGACAATGAGGATAGTGCTTGACATTAATTTTTGTTAAAACATATAATATTTATTTGAAATGCTTACCATATTTATTGTATATTATATTAATATTGACGTTTTTTGACATATTATGACATCCATTTAAAATGTGTGAAACTTAAAAATGTAAATGTGTGATAAATGTAATTGCTCTTTGTCGTTTTTATCACAATAAATAAATAAATAAATAATAAATAAATAAATGAAAGGTATAGCTCTCTAACTCTAATGCGTTACAGTTACAACACAACACGACAGATAAATATGAATAATGCGATTATGGCAGAACTGAACTGAGATTATGGCATAGGTATATTATATATTATGTGTTTAAATTTATAAATGAAAAAAAAACATGTATGGTAGACTTTAAAATGATTGGCCGCTTAATTGGAATTCTTCAATTGTTTGTCTGTAGTAAATTAATTAATAGTTTTCGATTGAATGTAGTTTCACAATGCTGTAAAATAGGGTTTGATTGTCGAAATAAGGAGACTTTAAACAGCTCAATATTATTGTGCATAAAAATATTTCAAAATCAATAGTAAAACTATCAAATGTATAGCCATTGGCCCTCGAGGTACATTAATTGCCCCCACGTATATCAGTGATTAGCCCTCTGGATATTTTTGATTTCTATTTTATTTACCTAAATAAGATACTTAAGGCATCATGGCCTGTGCAGACGATGGACTTTTGTCCGCGGAGAACAAAAGTGCCTCAATCTTGAAAAAAATGTCCACCGAGGACTTGTCAAGTACTCGGTGTGCGGATATTTTGTTACCCAAAAAGCGCACACTATGAAAGTTAAAATTTTAATTACGACACAGATTACTTTGTGTTGTACCAGGAGTGTGTGCGATGGACTGGAAGTGTCCACAGTGGGCCCATTACCTACAAGGGCCATTCCACATTGGCCCCCTTCTGCACTGGGTCCATTCCACATTGGGACAAATCCACATTAATCCCATTCCGCACTGGGACCATTAGAGAAATAACCACTCCGTTTCGTTTAAAGTGGTTTCGGAAGTGCCTACTCCTAAAACGGAGTGGTTACTTTTTTTTTAGCTGAACGAATTGACATCGCCTATCCTTCAATCAGCGGTCGGCGAGTCGTAAGCGCGGCGCGTCGCCTAGCCATAGCATATCCAAACATAATGGAACAACTTATCCTGGTGGACACCTGTTTCAGGAGGGGGAGCCCGCCTGCTAGACCAGTAGAGGTACCTTCTGTGACTGCCAGGGAGCGGGTGCTCCGCGGCAAGGGTGGATCCAGGGGGGGGTCATGGGGGTCATGACCTTGGGCTGGATCCGTCTGTACCCACTTCACAATCTGTACTTCCAATCTGTACCCACTGTGACTTGATCACGACTGTATGACCCCCCCCCCCCCCCTGGCGCCAAAGCTGGATCCGCCCTTGCTCCACGGCACCATCGCGAGGGGGTAGGAATCCAGGCGTAATAAACGGAGACTCATGACTGGTTCCCGCCGTTACGCCTGGCGAGTGAAGGCTAGAACAGGAAGTTGGTATACCAGGTAGGTACCAGGAGCAGATCGGCTGGTTAGCCGCTCGGAATACAGTCCGTTGTACTAGTTAGGTGACGCTATGAACGAAGAAGCCCAGTATCGGCTGGAGCGGGTGCGGGCCGGTCGAAGGCGGGGTGGTTTGACGTATGCCACGTTTGCGTGAGTGCACGTCAAAGTATACCTGCACCGACTAGTGGCCCTCGGGCTGCTCGCCGCTGTCCGAATGCACCACGCAATTACTTGCGTCGCGAGGTTTTGTTTACAGCAAACCAACGCGATGTTGGTCATTTTCGTGAATATAATTCATTTTTTCTCCCCGTCATCGAAAAATAAAACAGAAAAAGATGGACGCCTGTTTGACAGTAAGCCGAAAGACGAGTCGGTATCGATCCCTCGATCGATATGTGTCATCATTATCACCAGCCTATTAATGTCCTCCTATGGATGGAATACAATGGAATAGAGAGATTGGGCCCTGACCCACCACATGGGCGCAGTGTGGATTCGTGGGTGCTAACGACGGCAGAAGCACAGAGTAGCTCGAAATAATAAGTTTTTGGTCACCAATCAACCAACCATTGCGAAAGTTTCTTAACTTCGACGATCGCAGTGTATAAAAAAACTGAAAATGGTATATTTGCCTTTTCCAAACTTCTATTAACATCACGTTACTGAATTGTTAAACCCTGAACCTTTCCACTAACATTTGAAAATGGTATGGTAATAAGGTCCAATTTTACTTTCAAGTATTATTACGAATCGTTTGTATGGGAGTATAGAAATGTGGTGTTTTTGGACTTTTTTAGGCATTTTTTTAAATTTTTCTCTGCGTAAGAACCACTCTCGTACTTTAAGGAATAATCTAAAAAAGAATTATTGAAATCGGTTCAGCTGTTCTCGAGATTTGCGCTTAACACACATTCAGCATTTTTATATTATAGAAGATATGGTAGGTTATTGGGTTTAAAGCTTTAAGTATTTACTAAACGTAGGCACCTTTATAACGAGCGTTGGATTGGATGTATTTTACTCGGTGTTTGGCGAAAAAAGTTATCAATGTACAACAAATTGTGATGGCAATTTAGCGAAATAAATCAATGAGTGAAACGAAACGCATTCGTCCAATATTGCAGTGGAGCGTTATCTGATTATCATAAAACGGACGGAAAAGGGACGGAATATGTAAAACACGGACACAGAAAGAGGTGTTCTTTTCCTCTCACCTCTTTCTGCGTTCTGTGATGTAAAAGGAACTTCGAAGGGACGTTTGGATGATGAACGTTCGTTGGGACGTTCTGGCACCGCTGGGAATGATCACAAACTACAAAGGAGATACTGGTGCCAATTCTAGCGTGATTCTCTAAACTTAAAACTAAATTTAACATTCGTCTCTCCTTTTCATTCTGTATAGAGAATGACAAAATTTAAGTTTAAGTTTAGAGAATCATGCTAGAATCGTCACCACAATTGATTAACATCAATGCAATCCATTTTTTTAATCTTTTCAATAGGATTTAATTTTTCCTCAGATTGTAACGTGTATGCTCAGAAGATCGCATGAAAAACTCTCATGATATTACATTGAAAATTTGTAACCAAGTGAAACCGAAATATTTGTCCGAGGGTTTAAAATATATTTTTACAACTGAAAGCACGTTTGTGGTGAAGGACTGCTCGAAAATACATTAACAAAGACACTATAATATATTTTTTTTGTTAAAAAACGGTTGTAACTATTTTTTTCACGTAAAAATATTAAAAATATTAATTAGTATCGCATTGTAAAATAGGCAATTGGTAAGGGGTAGGGTCTATAAAACCTTGCAGTTATAGAAAATGAAAAAAAACCTAAGAAAATGTTACTAGATAAAATTCCACGCGGACCAGGCAGCAGTTAGGACTTGAAGTCAGTCAGACTGATGTCAAATTTACTAATAATGGTGTCGATTCTGGCACAATTCTCTAAACTTAAAACTAAATTTAAAATCAGTCTACAAGGATACACTGGTGTCAATTCTGAAACGATTCTCTAAACCTAAACTTAAATTTGACAACAGTGTATCCTTTTCATTCTCTATACGGAATGAAAAGGAGAGATTGATATTAAATTTAGTTTTAAGTTTAGAGAATCACGCCAGAATCGACACCATTTAGTTTAGGTTTAGAGAGATGTCGATTCTGGCATGATTCTCTAAAGCTAAACTTAAATTTGACAACAGTGCATCCCTGTCATTCTCTATACAGAATGAAAAGGAGAAACTGATGTTAAATTTAGTTTTAAGTTTAGGGAATCACGCCGGAATCGACACCAGAATCATGCTAGATTTGACACCAATAGCAAACACGAATAGCCAAGTGAAGTGCCGGCATTAGAAATCATGTCTTCTGTCCTTGTCATGATTATAGGGAATGAGAAAGAAAGACTTTTGTCAAGTTTACAAATATAAATAACCAAGTGAAGTGCTGGTAGTTCTATAAAAAATATACAAGTGTCAAAACAAAAATGACAGAGACAGAAATAAAAAGTTGTTTAAAAAAATTTTCGCGCTTGCATTGCTTTGTTTACCTGTGTTTTTATAATAATCATTAATTTTCTAGCAGCAGTGTCATAAGAAAATATAATCATCATATATGATTTTAAATATGTGTTGACTGGAATAGAGCTGTGTTAATAAAGTTTACATTACGACACGTTACTTGTGAAATTCGCCTGTAGATTAATGATTTGTTACAGAATATGGATAGTTCTTCAGAAGCCATCAAGAATTTTGAAGAAAAATTAATGCGAAATGCTCATAGAAAGACTTTAACTTTGTATAGCAGTAGTGAAAGAAATAGGAAGCATATTCAATGTCAATCCTGGTGCAACCCTCAAAGCATAATTTCCAATGTGTCTTCACAATTAAAAGCTATACAAAAAGCTGATAATGTTGTTAGCACAAAACATGCTCGAGGAGATTTAACAAAGTTTAAAAAATCCAACTTCCTGCCTGTAAATATGTTGACAGAGGATAATTTGGTAAGTTAACTGAAACATTATTTGTCTATGTAGCAATATATATATTTCTACCTGTTACCTAGTATTACAGAACACAACCTTCCAGAAGTTGGTTTGAGTCTAGACTTGTGTTTTGAATATGTATGTTTGGAAAAAGGATTAATCTAGCCGGTTCTTCTCAGTACAAGGTCTCCTGCTGTAGTTTCGCGAACTGATGGCGTAGCTTCTTGATCTTCACAAGTACTTGTAACAGCCTAGATTGAATAAATGATTTTTGATTTGATTTGATTTGAACATAAAAAATAGCTGGTTCATGCATGATTCAAGAAGATTAAAAATACTTCTTCACATCTCTTCTAAAGGATCTTGCTTGTGATTGGGATGTGAGTGTAATGTTGATAAAGTATCAATTGACTATTGTATTTGTATTTGCTGAAATAAAAAACTCTTACCATGTTTAAAAGTAAAGAAAATTTTACTAGAAAAAAAACCTGCTCAGACCAGGCAGCAGACGGGACTCGAACTCGCACTCTTTGCTATTATTTTTCTGTGTTATAGTGCCATTTGTAATTCAATGACAAGGCACAAAACATGGAGTAATTAATCCAATCTGTTAACTAAATTGTTTGTTTACCTTTGCCATGAATAATAAAACTTAACACTATTATTATTTTCAGTTACTAAGTGAATAATATGTGATAAATCTATTATCTTTTAGGGTGCACAACAATCGAGTCACGCAAATAAATTTGAAACTCAGTTTGAACTAGATACACAGCTTATGGATATCATTGAAAATGCTGAAGAGTTGGATACTGTCAATAAAGGCATGACCCAAGAATTTGAAAAAGCATTTCACGAAAATCACAGGCAAATTGAATGCAATAGTGATGGAAACTCTACTGAAAAGAATGAAAATCACACAGTCATAATTGAAAATGTTGATAGAAATGATATTTGCATTGAAGCATTACCAACAGGTTGTACGGATGCTGTTGCAAATATTGATTTTAATGATTCATTAGAAGATGAAGTTCTACCATGCAGTTTCGTGTTTAAACCTTTAAAGAAGTCTAACACTCCATCACCATTAGTGTTTGATTTGAATACATTTGAAGATTTTGAAAAAATTGCGCTTCCCATCATAGAAGAGCACAGTGACATAAAATCAGCTAAAAAGTTAATAAACTCCCAAATTGTAGGAAGGGAATTAATTATTCAACATAATGACCAACCTCAATTCAGTAACGGGGATGCTCCAATAAGTCCTGTTCTTAAATTAACAGTTGATAAATTGAAAATAACTCCAGATGAAGCTGCAACTAACAGCTTGACAACTAATGGTAACATACATGATAATTCAATCATTGAAGATGGTGTTTTCTTAAAAGATGAAATAATTTTTAGTAGTGATGAAGAGAGTGATAAACAATTACAAGATCTACCTCTTACTTGTGCATTAGAAACTTCTTTCTATAATCAATCTGAAATTCTTGATAAAACTATTTATGTAGGTTTTCAAACAGCTAGTAATAGATCTATACAAGTGAGTTCAGACTCATACAAAAAAGCCAAAAGCTTCCTTGATAGTTGTGATGAAGATGGAGATGAAAATGATAAAGTTACTTTAACTGATCTTGTAAACATGTGCGACAGTTTCAATATAAATAATAAAGAATTAGTTAAAGATAAAACTAAAGCTAAGGATACCAGCACTTGTTTCACACAGTCTTTAGTGGAGGCAGATTTAGCTAATCTCCATGTGTCCAACGAAAAAACAAATGATTTTGATAAAAAAAATGATAAAGATTGCTTGCAAAATAACATTATCAAAACTGTTGATTTGAAAAATTCAAAATCTGAACCTATTGTTAATTTTATGTCAATTGAATCTCTAAACAATGAAAATGGCATGAGAAAACCAACATCCCCAGTTAAAAGGATATGTAAAGAATTTACAATACCTAGTTATAAAAAAATTAAATTATCAAATTTAGCAACAAGTGAACAATGTATCCTGGATATGAACCCAAAGGACAGCTTGGGTTCAGAAAACACAGTGGTGGAAAATTGTAAAAATGTACCTGTTAATATAGGCAATAAACCTAATAGTTTCATAGATACTTCACATATAGATGAAGATATAATTAACGAGTTTGCATGTGATATGCCAGTTCTTGAGAATAACAGTAAATCAAATGATATAGTGCTTTCTAGCTTTAAAACAGGTGGCATGAAAAACATCAACATTTCAGAATCTCCATTGGCTAAAACAAATAAAATATTTGATGGCATTGATATTAATGAAAAATTAGATAACACTAGTACTACTAGTCTTATACCAAATAATTTAAATAAGGGTGGTAAAAGTAAGGATATGGAAAACTCAAAAGATTATACCAATAATATTGTTTTCAAAACTGCAAGTAATAAAAATATTGCAATTACTGACGAAGCTTTTGCAAAATCGAGGCTCATTCTAGAAGAATTCACTGAATTTATACCTGATAGATTGCAAGATCAATGTTTAAATTGGGATCAACCATCAACAAGTAAATTACATGTTTGTGGTTTTAAGACAGCAAGTAATAAAGAAATAAAAATTTCCATAGATTCTTTAGCTAAAAGCAAGCCTCTTCTACAAGATATTATAGAAGATGATGATGCTGTATTTAATATAAAATCTAGTAAAGCCTTGAGAAATACAAATCAAAGTCTGCCACACCCAGATACTTGTCTTGGTTTTAGAACTGCTAATAATAAAGATATAAAGATTTCTGAAGAAGCTTATTCTAAAACTAAGCATTTGTTTAAAGATATTGGTATGGTTGAAGAAGACCGTTTGAATGACGTTGATGAAAACTTGGAAAATAGAAATACCATTTTAAAGACTACTGATGTAAATGTTGAAATACCGGAAGAAAATAAAAATCGTGAATCACTTAATGATTCAAGTGGCAAACCCCTATTTCATGAAGACACTGTTATGCTAAAGTTTTGTGGTTTAACAACTGCAGGTAATAAGCCAGTGAATGTTTCCGAGAAAGCTATTGCTAAAAGTAATAAACTTTCTGCCGATTTAGAATTCGACGAATTTAATTTCAACAACAAAGAGGATTTTAATTATGGTAAGGGCCCAAGTATTATCGAAAATGAAATATTGAGTGATAAACAAAAAACGAATCGCTTATTGTTCAGTGAAAATAGTACAGCTTTTTTGGGATTCAAAAGTGCAAGTAATAAAGAAGTTAAAATATCCCATAAAGCATTAGAGCAAAGTAAAAAACTTTTTGATGATTTAGATCTAAACGAATTTAACAATAAGAACGAAGTAACCCATGGTAATAATTGTGATACGGTTTCAAGTTTTGCTAAAAACAAAACAATACGTGTTATAGAAAATGAGAATTGCGTACAGTGGAATGAGAATAGTACAGCTTTTCTGGGATTCAAAAGTGCTAGTAATAAAGAAGTTAAAATATCCGACAAAGCATTAGCTCAAAGTAAAAAACTTTTTGCTGATTTAGATTTAAACGATTATAATTTCAACAAAAAAGAAGACAAAACAATTAGTGTAGAAGAAAATGAAAATTGCTTACAGCTGAATAAGAACAGTACAGCTTTTACGGGATTCAGAAGTGCGAGTAATAAAGAAGTTAAAATATCCGAAAAAGCTTTAGCTCAAAGTAAAAAACTTTTCAGTGATTTAGAAGTTGATAGTCACATTGCTGATTATAAAAACCCTACTTTTAAAAACATTGATATCCAACCTAGCAAAAATTCCACTGCAACAGAAGTTTGCAAAGGCTTTCAAACAGCAAGTAAAAAACCAATCAAAATATCAGCTCAGGCTTTGTCTAAAAGCATGAAATTATTCAAGGATATTGATAATGACAATGATAATTGCGATTCCAATGTAAATAACTCACAAAATTGTATAATCCAAGCAAATTCGGATAATTCGATCGCATATAAGGAACCGGTTTTTAGAGGATTTCAAACATCAAGCGGGAAACCGGTGGAAATATCAGCTGAAGCACTAGCAAAAAGCAAATCATTATTTAAAGATATTGAGGATAACACAGTTGAACAAAATCAAGATAATATTAGAATGCAAAAGTTTTCAAACAGTAAACGAGATGTCCCAGCAAATGATGAAATAGTTACAACGAGCAATAAATTCTCTAATATACATGAAACGGAGAATAATGTTGCGAAAGTAGAGGAAAAACCTATTGGGTTTTGTGGATTTAAAACCGCTAGCAAGAAAAAAGTTTTGATATCTGATCAAGCATTAGAAAGAAGCCGTAAAATATTTCAAGATATAGATATGGATGGTGGACTCGAAAAAACCAGTGATAGAAGAGCACTTGGATTTTGCGGATTTGAAACTGCTAGTAAGAAGAAAGTTTTGGTATCCAATCAAGCTTTAGAAAAAAGCCGTAAAATATTTCAAGATTTAGATATGCCTGGAGGACAAGGAAAAACTGTTGATCCAGCACTGTGTAATGATAAGGAAAATCAAAGTAATAGAATCCAAGAAACACATTCAAACTTTAAGTCCGTAAATAACGATGATGGAAAAGTGTCTGAAAATGTTATGATCAAGTCAAAAAGACTTTGTACAGATTCCGCACAAAAAAGTAATAAAATCCAGTCTTCGATTTCTAATAATAAACCTCAAAATATTTTTGAAAGACTAATAGATACTCAAGTTATGCACAATTTCGAAGAAACATTGTGTACTGAAGATTTTTGTAAAGAGACCACTACACCTAAGAATAGCAAACGTTCTGGGAGTCCTATATTATCTTGTCCCAAAGCAAAAAAGCGGAAAAAGTTTGAGACTCCATACAAGACCAATGTTGTTACAAAAGGAACTGCTATCCCTAACATTGGTTCTGTTATTGATATAGTGGATGAAAGTGTTATGCTATTTAATGTGGATTATAAGAAAATGAAACGATATAAACTAAAAGATTTAGCTGAAGCAGAAAAAAACACCGGAAAGTTCGATACAAGTTCATTTGCTTACTTTTCTCAATTTAATTTTGATAAATTACTAAATTTTCAATTTATCGGAAAAAGGAATGACTTGTCAGATATTGATATGTCAGTAGAAGATGTTAAGAATTTGTTTTTGAGTATGGTCAATAAGAAATTGGTACCTGAAGGTTGGTTAGATAATCATTTGAGGTTGGTGATTTGGAAACTAATATCTTACGAAATGAAATTTCCGAATACATTGTCTGGTGTTTGTAGTGTTAGAAATTTGTTGGATCAGTTGAAATATAGGTATGATAAAGAGCTTTATAATGCTGAAAGGCCTGCCCTTCGGAAAATTTTGGAGAAAGATGATATTGCGTCGAAAACTATGGTACTGTGTGTAGCTGCCATTTATGTTGACGGTGTAAGTGTAAGCAGGTAAGATTTTAGCATATAATAATAATAAATTTATTTGGAACAAGTTCATTATACATACAATCAAGAAACGTAAAATCCGCTGTAGTTTTAATAAAACTGTGTTGCAAAAATAACGTCCATTCTCGTATAATGTGAAAATAGTGTTCCATTCAGTGTTAAAATAAAACAAACTGTATTTTTACCAGAAAGGAAAGTAAATATTTGATTGATATGCACAATCCATCGAAGGTAACTTGAAAAAATAAAGTATTTGTGAGTGAATTTCTAACAACATAATAGCAAAATATTGTACAAAAAATTTTTAAATAAAGGCTAACATAAAGCATTTGATTACAATGCTCACATTAGAAGTTAGGTAAACACAGCTAATTTAAGTTTATTAGAATTACAATATTAAACGTGTAGGACACTGCAAACCAATAAATCATGGTGTAGAATAGTTAAATCCAATCTAAGACATAGTTTTGCGCATATCGCACATAACTGCAAAAATTTTTTTAAATTGTATGAGCGTTATTATTTTGTATATTAAAGTAGAAACGTCCAGCAGTACCGTACGGTGGCCATCAACTGAACTAACAATATAATTAAGTCATATAACACGGAATGGGTAGCCCTAACAGAATACTATTCAATCGCGGGGGAAAATGCACACAAACGCAGTTTAATGCATATGAAACAAAACAGTAACTACGACACTCAGGCATAAACAATTATATTGCCATATCCTGCACACATGCAACGTTTGTATGGAACCCTCCTGGCTGCGTCGGCCGTGTAAAAATAAAAATATATATCACATATTATGATTTTTTGCTATGTTATTGATAATTACATATTTTGCAATATGTATTTTAATTGTAATATCAAAACTTATAAGTTATTTCAATGTTAAGAATTTGGTTATATTACAGCTTTGATTACATATATTATGTTAAACATAATGGAATACCACAGGGTTGCATTATATGGCCGTATTTGTTGATATTCTATAATTACTTATAATTTATGTCTGTATTGACTGTAGTTAAAGAACAGAAAAATAAACGAATTATATATTCAAAGACAATGTTTAAATTTAAGTAAAATGGATTTATTTACATTCAAATACATTATTATTTTTTGAGTAAAGCTTATGTTTACTTCTATTACTAAATTATGAAAGCTTATGAACAATGTAAATAACAAAATTTTATTTCAGCATTACCAACAATACAGCAAATGTGGAACTTTTACTAACAGACGGTTGGTACTGTATCAAAAGCACCATAGACAAAATGCTGACAAAACTTGTCTATGATGAGAGGATTACTATTGGTTGTAAAATCATCACGAACGGCGCTGAATTGGTTAATTGCGACCAAGGAGTTGCTCCTTGGGAGGTATGTCCTATTTAATTTCTAATTGAAAAGTCACATAATAATATATCAATGTTTATATGGTTGTATATATTTTTTTAATTTCTTAAGCATTTAACTGCTACATGTTTAAATCTAAAGAAATTTTTAACTAGAATATATTCCACTCGGACCAGGCAGCAGACGGGATTCGAACCCGCACCCTCCGCTATCCGGGCGGATGCATTTATAATTTATATTTTTTAAAATAATAAATATTTCCAAAACTCACACCAGTTAGCCTTGCCCCAAAGTAAGCACTGTAAGGCTTGTGATATGGGATGCTAGGGTATCGGATAAATATATATACACTGTACATAAATAAGTATATTTATATCATCATCATCAGCCTATTAATGTCCCCACTGCTGGGGCACAGGCCTTCCCTATGGATGGAATAGGGAGATAGGGCCATGACCCACCACGCGGGCCCAATGCGGATTGGCGGGTGCTAACGACTGCAGATGCAGCCGGGATCAACGGCTTAACGTGCCTTCCGAAGCACGGAGGAACTCGAGATAGAAGATTTTTGGTCACCCATCCAATGACCGACCACTGCGAAGTTGCTTAAATTTAACGATCGCAGCCGAACGCGCTAACCACTTGCGCCATCGAGCTCCTCAGAGTATGTTTATATAGAAATTCATATTAAACATCCATGACTGGACACCTTGATTACCTGATACCTGAAAATTGGCCGTCTAAGCAAGCTAGCAGGTAGGCGTGCGTTCTTAGTACATACTAACATTACTCAATCGTCCACATTTCCTTTGTGGGATCTTGGACTATTATGGCTTTGGTACTATTGGTCCACTTGCAGCAATTTTGCTTAATCGAGATGTTACTAAATCTGGATTTAACCTTTACAAGAATGTGAAATTGACATTGAAGTAATGGATTAGCGGGCTGCGAGTCTATAGACTAGACATAATATTATTGACCTTTAAGTAACGAGGGAACATTTTTCAAAATTTACGTCTTACCATGGGTCACCACTTACGAACAGACAGACACACTTTCGCTTCTATTATATTAGCATGGGCAAAGATAAATACTGTGTCAATTGTTAGTTGATTACTCACCTCAACAGCTGTAGTCAAACCTATTGGGCTGCTCTAAAATTAAAATATTTTTGTAATATGTCGACCGAGGAATCACTAACCCTGATAATTACAGTTTTTACTAGTTTCTGGGTTAGGGGTCCATTTCTTCAGACTTTTATATAAATACCCGTAGACTTTATTAGCTTAATACTTTAAATGTAAAATGTTGAGGGTTATGAATAAATGATTATTATTATTATTATTAATTATATCCATTACTAGGACACATCTTGTGTTCGTCTCAAGATCTTCGGCAACTCCACGCGGCCGGCGCGCTGGGACGCCCGCCTAGGTTACCATGGCAACGCCGCCATCTTGACGCAGCTGTCATCTGTCAAAGTCGAAGGCGGGAAAGTGTCCAAAATGCGCTTGTACGTCACTAGGGTGTATCCCGCGCTGTACGTGGAGAAATTCGAAGATGGCAGCACTGGTGGGTAATATTATTTATATTTATTGTATGTGAACACAGACAGACAAATGAGCATGTAATACAGCCTAAATTTTGAATTTTATTGTAAGTTCAATTTAACATAGCTTAATTGTTAATTAAATAAAGGTGAAATAAAGATTCACTGCTCGTTCCCCGTTGTTGATAGCGTGATAATATGTAGCCTATATGGTGACCCGACTTCTCCGTAATATTCGTGCAAAATTTGAAGTAAATCCATGCAGTACTTTTTGAGTTTATCCCTGACATACATACAGACAAACAGACAAAAATTGTAAAAACTATATTTTTAGATCATTATAAACTATTGTAGATCACACCCCAAGCATTCTTTTAAAAAAATATTTAATGTACAGTTTTCACTTTCCTACTATTTCATCATATGTATAGATTAATATTAACTGCATGTTTTAGTCACTCGTTCAGAGCGGCTCGAGTCACTTCACCTATTGAAATACGAATCGGAGAGGCAGCTGATTATCGAAAAGTTGTATGAAGAGGTGGAGAAAGAACTATCAGACCAGGTAATAATAATAATCAATTTATTTCATAGCAACTTACACTCTTAACATGTGTCAGTATATTTATTTATATTAAACTTTACTAGCAAACCAGTGAACCAAATGTTCACCAAAACCTGATTTAAAAATGGTTGCCTGTAAAGTCGGTTTTACGGGCGAAGATTTTACGTGACAACGTCTTTTTCTCGGTAGAATATTTATTGATATGAATATAATTAAATTGCACAATAGGAACAAGGAATTGAATGAAAATAAGAATTGCACAAATTTTAACTATAGAAATATATTTTGTTTACTAAAACATTGTACATGTAAACTTAAACTTAACACGAGAGACTCATCGTAACGTTACCGAGCGTTACACTTTTTCATAAGTGACTCCCAGCCGCAACCTAATTTAAGACGTTGTCACGTCAAAAAAAAATATCTTTAATTAATTGAGAACTTCGGAGATTTTGTGTGGTTTCGTTTGAAATTCGTGATTTCTTGAAAACCGCAAGTGCTACGTTACTCAGATCCGGTTTGTAGTCTTATCAGACTATTCTTAACTTATAACTTAAATATTCTCTTTATCCATCTCTTACGGTTTGGCCGCTGAAACAGCACCACAGACAGACGGACGGACGGACGGACTTGTCTAATAGATAAGAGATTGACCAAATTACAAGAGAATGGTACAAAAGGCGGACTTAATGCTAATATCATTCTCTCCCAGTCAACAAGAGAGGGAGAGAGGGAGGGAGAGGGGGGGGGAGAGAGAGAGAGAGAGCATTTATTGTTTGAGTGTGTATGCTGTTGGCCGCAGATGATCTTTACAGCGTCACCGGGTTTGGTGACGGCGAGATCCTAAGGGGACCTCAAGCCGAGAATTGGCGAGTGCCTCTAGAGGTATTCTAGGCGGATTGCATCTCCGGTCGGCTCAACTAGAGTAAGAGGGAGTCTCTGAGACTCGGACCTCGGCTTTTGTTAGCCATTGTCATGCGAGAGCATTTATTGCTACTACATGAAATACTTATGTTTACATAAAAGCGAAACGATAGCGCGATTCAATAGACTATTCCTGCCATCTAGTATACAAAATGTTAATCTGATTCTTAACAGGCCCAAGCACGAACCTTGATAGCTTCGTAATCGTATCGTAATCAAATAAAACTAGCTTTAACGGATAAATGCACGAACTTTATTTATTTAAATTGACGTTTCGCAGCCTTTTCAGGTCTGCATCGTCAGAATAATGATTTTTAATTTATTTTATCAAATTTTATCAAAAATAATTAAAAAATCATTATTCTGACAATGCAGACATGAAAAGGCTGCGAAACGTCATTAAATGAATAAAGTTCGTGCATTTATCCGTTAAAACTAAGACGTCCTCTCCTCTTGCAATGAGGGCTACCGTTTTCTGACTCACCAGATGGCGCCACTGTTGAGTGAGGTCCTAAATTGTAACTTTTAAAGTTTATTAATACGCACATGAAATCAAAGGTTACATTTAGATCGTATTTTAACACAAAAGAACCATATCCTAAACATAATAGGCCATGCCACAGTGACGCCCAGTTCCGTTTTATTCGGAAAAAATGGGAACATAATCATTTTTCTAAGCTCAAATTTTTAATAACTGACATTCATTGCCACATAACTCATATTTGCCACATCATTATTTTAATAAGAAATAAACCCGCGTAGTCAACCAACAAGCAATAACATTTGACATTTCGGAGACCTCACGCTACACTAGCGCCTCTAGCGGCGGATTCATACGCGATAGCCCTCATTGCGATACCCTACACTACAGGGTCCATAATGCACTTTTTATCTATATGTTACCACCTTTGTATCTCCATTATGGTCTGCAATAAATGAATTGAATTGAATTGAAAACTAGTTTTATTCAATGAGTGATGTCCGTGAAAACCTAAGAAGCAATAAGAATACGTATCGTCATCGTCAAATATTGTATGGAAGGAGCCAGTTTGTTCTTACGTCCGGTAGGGGCGCTGCTTAGTTTCATAAAAAACTGACGATGCGATACGATTGCGGAGCTGTCAAAATTCGTGCTTGGACCTCTTACAGAATTCGAATTTAAATCCTGTCCGATGAATTTTCTTTATATTTATAATTGTAGAAGTTCATCCTCGCCCTATTAATGTCCCCACTGTTGGGGATTAGGCCTTCCCTTTGGATGGAATAGGGAGATTGGGCCATAGCCGACTACGTGGGCCCAGTGCGGTGGCGGGTGCTAACGACTGCAGATGCAGCCGGGACTGAAGGAACTCGAGATAGTAAATTTTTGGGCACCCATCCAATGACCGACCACTGCGGAAGTTGCTTAACTTCAACGATCGCAGCCGAACGCGTAAACCACCCGCGTCATCCAGCTCTCCGATCAATTGTAGAAGTTAATTGCTTAAAAATATTTAATAAAATTAAATATATCTGTCCTTTTGTTTTGTACAGCCTGTATAATTGTAATCCTAAGCCAGTTACAGGGTGCGACAAATTAACAAAAAAAAAAAACGAAGGGTTGCACTCTGGGAGTGTCGGCAGAAGTGAAAACTTGAATATTAATGTTGTGCATTTTTGATATTTTGGAATGGTTAGGGAATAATTTAGCACGAATTGCTTTAATTATCAGTATAAAAGTACTATCATTTATGTGGTAGAATACAATATTTATTTATTGCGCTATTTATTACACAAACATGACAATTTATATTACATTAAAAAAGTTTCTCTCAGAAAAATCAACTTACATGAATCACGTTTAAGCGCACTTAGCGACATCTATTGTAAAGAAATCAACTTACATGAATCACATTTAAGCGCACCTAGCGACATCTATTGTAAAAAAATGCATTTTCTTCGCAATAAAGCTGTCACGTGGACGTCCTAGGTCTCTACCTATAAGTCTCTACTTATTATTATTATACGGTAAAATGAAATATTACTTTGTTTCGTCCAATATATTGAAAGTCAACAACCTTTCCAATTTTATTTTTTGTCATGATGCGATCAGCCCACGTGTTTAACCTGACGCGAGTTTAACATTTTTACTCATACCAAAAAAGTGTACAACGCCGCTAAAGAACCTTCCTTTCAAAACCCTTCAAAAAAAAGATTAATCCGCAGATTATGTCGATGTTGTAACATTATTCTCATTTTCTTTTGTTACAGGAGTCTCAAGATTCTGAAAGTAGCTATAATGATAAAAGAAGAAGGCTGTGCATCAGCTCTGAATTGATTACCAGCGTGAGTTTAATCGTGACATAGTTATATATAATTTATAATATGTGTATTTATGATATTTGATTATTATATAATATTTATTTATCGTTTATTATAGTATAGTTAAGTTAAGTAGGATAATATTATATGTTTTTATAACTTTAGTAGCTCGCACTCTATCGCCATAACATTCGTCTCCCATACCCTTACTGGTTGACTGGTAGAGAATGCCTATGGCATTCAGTCCGCCATGTATTTTGATAAAGAAGAATAAAATAAATAAATAAATATAATACTAGTGGCCCGCCCTCGCTGCGCTTCGATGTAGAGCTGTGTGTTGACTAAAATGACTCTTCATATAATTAAAAAAAAAAAAACTGAAAATGGTATATTTGCCTTTTCCAAACTTCTATTCACATCAAGTCACTCAATTGTTTTGCCTTCCCGGAACTTCTCCACTATCAATTGAAATTTATGGTATGGTATTAAAGTTCAAATTGACTTTTAAGTATTATTACGAATCGTTTGCATGGGAGTATAGAAAAGTGTTGCTTTTGGACTTTTTCAGGCATTTTTTTAATTTTTCTCTGCTTAAGACCCATCCTCGCACTTCAAGGAATATTCTAAAAAAAGAATTATCGAAATCGGTTCAGCTGTTCTCGAGATTTGAGCTTAGCAACACATTCAGCGATTCATTTTTATATTATAGATAGCAGTCATATAGAGAGAAAAGTTTCTTCCTTAAATATAGTCAAATATAACGAAAATTGAGGAGCTCGATGGCGCAAGTGGTTAGCGCGTTCGGCTGCGATCGTTGAAGCTAAGCAACTTTCGTAGTGGTCGGTCATTGGATGGGTGACCGAAAATTTACTATTTCGAGCTCTTCCGTGCTTCGGAAGGCACGCGAAGCCGTTGGTCCCGGCTGCATCTGCACTCGTTACCACCCACCAATCCGCACTGGGCCCGCGTGGTGGGTCATGGCCCAATCTTCCTATTCCATCCGTAGAGAAGGTCTGTGCCCCAGCAGTGGGGACACTAATAGGCTGATGATGACGGTAATTATAGTTATTTATCGATTCCAGACTCAAACCAGATCATTGGAGGAGCGTTCCAATAAACGCCGCGATAGAATGATCCAGAACATTGAGAAGAGATTGCAAGAGAAGATGGAGTCGCATGGAGTTAATGTGAACAGGTAATACACGAAATGGTAATAGATTGGTTTCTGCAATCATTCCAAAAAGCATGAGATTAAAAAAAAAAGTTATTGGATGTGTATGCAAATTTATAATAAGTTACCAACTTATATGAAAAACTGCCTTTTAAGAAATTTAAGACTGCCTTGTACAGTTGGCTATATGATAGGATGTTTTACAGTGTTAAAGAATATTTAGGGGGCGTCCATAAATTACGTGAGATGTTTAAGGGGGGGAGGGGGTCGAGTCAAATCTCATCTAATCTTACGTTGGAGAGAGGGGGGGTCGAGTCAAATATCACTTTTTTTTTCTGATTGAAACAAAAAAAAATATACTATTTTGGTCCATTTAATTCAGATTGTACATGATTAAGATTTAATCTTAAGCGTAATCGTAATAAGATTAAGATCATTCACTATTTCATTTGAAAGAAATAACTCTCAGCAATATTGATTACTAGTCGTAAAGAAAAGCACTAAACATTTTTTTTCTTTTTACGATAACAATCCAACGCATTTACGTAAGAAACCCACATTTTGAAAAATCTCACGTGAGATCAGGGAGGGGGGAGGGGGTTGAATAAAATCTCACGACATCTCACCAGGGGGGGAGGGATGGATAGAAAATTCAAAAAAACACCTCACGTTATATATGGACGCCCCCTTATGTAATGATTGCAGCTAGTGACAGTAGGTTTTAGGTTTTATGATTTGTATTCTGCACTTGATTGACATTTTTATTCTATTGTATTTTGATTGACATTTTATTCTATTGTATTTTAATTGACATTTTATCCTATTGATTTTTGATTGGCATTTTATTCTATAATTGATATTATTAATCGACTATCTTATTTTGTTAGCTTTTCAATAATTTAGATTGACATAAACTAAGACTAAACTGACAGTTGTAATTTTGCTGACGATAATATAATGTAATTCGCTTTTTGTAGTATTTTAAGAATTTATTATTGGTATGTGAAATTGATGGCTTCATGATTATTAATAATATTAATGTAATTAATGCAATGTTAAATATTTGCTTGCTATTGTAAATGGCAGAATGGGCCGAACTTTATATTTGTAACATCTCCAGTGTACCCCTATTCTAATGCAAATAAATAAATAAATTTTAAAATTCTGATTCTAACAGGAACGTTGTACCGCTCCTGAAGATTAGAGTGGCTGCATTCAAGAAAAGTTCTAAGGAAACCACGAAAGGTAAAATTTAAAAACGAGCGAGCCTTACAGTAGTCGCGTACATTTGAAACCTCACCTTATATTAGCAAAAATAGAAATAAAACCTACTACAAAAAGAATAAGCCTTTTGAACATAATGTTCTAAAATCAAATCAAATAGCGCGCGCTTTCGCGACTTCCTGTTACACACTTCCGTCCCACTTCACGAAATCACTCCCACTAATTGACGACCTCCGTGGCCGAGTGGTTTGTACGCCGGGTTTTATGGTGTCGCCGACTCGAGAGGTCCCGGGTTCGAATCCCGGTGGGGGCAGATGTTTGTGTGATGAATACGAGTATTTGTACTCCAGTCATGAATGTTTAATATGTATTTCTATATAAATATATATGTACAGTATATGTATTCTGTCCGTTACCCTAGTATCCCATAACAAAAGCCTTACAATGCTTACTTTGGGGTTAGGCTAATTGGTGTGAGTGTTGGAAATATTCATTCATTCAAATCAAATAGCGCGCGCTTTCGAGACTTCCTGTTACACACTTCCGTTCCACTTCATGTAATCACTCCCACAAATTGCAGGAAAGCGAGAGGAAAGATGTTACACATCAATATAACCCCTGACACCAAAAAATAATCTATACTCTATACGTATAAATAAAATTAGAGTGTCCGTTTGTTATATTGAAATAACCGCTTTTTACTACATGCATATGAATATAATATATACGGTACATACACCAAATAACATTCTTTACAATTTAGAAGTGAAAACTTCTTTAGCGGTTTTGTACACTTTTTTTGTATGGGTAAAAAATGATAAACTCGAGTCAGGTTAAACACGTGGACTGATCGCATCATGACACACAATAAAATTGAAAAGGTTGTTGACTTTCAATATGTTGGACGAAACATAGTAATATTTTATTATATCGTATTATAATAATAAGTCTCTATCTAGGACGTCCACGACGCTTTATTGCGAAGAAAATGCATTTTTTTTACAATAGATGTCGCTAGGTGCGCTTAAATGTGATTCATGTAAGTTGATTTCTTTACAATAGATGTCGCTAAGTGCGCTTCAACATGATTCATGTAAGTTGATTTTTCTGAGAGATAATCTTTTTAATGTAATATAAATTGTCATAATTGTGTACAATAGCGCAATAAAAAAATATTGTATTCTTCCAACATAAATTATGGTACTTTTATACTGATAATTAAAACAATTCGTGCAAAACTATTCCCTAACCATTCCAAAATATCAAAAGTGCACAACGTTAATATTCAAGTTTTCACTTCTGCCGGCACTCCCGGAGTGCAACTCGTCGTTTTTTTTGTCTGTCTGTCTGTTTGTTCCGGCTAATCTCTGAAACGGCTGGACCGATTTTGACGGGACTTTTATTGGCAGGTAGCTGATGTAATAAGGAGTGACTTAAGCTACTTTTATTATAGAAAAAATAAATAAACTAAATATTAACGCGACGAAGCCGCGGGCGGCCGCTAGTCAAAAATAAAAAGAATACTTTGTAAGGAAATGTCTTTAGACATCTTTCATGGTGGTTTGAATGTTTTTAAAAGTTAACTGCTCGGATCTGATAGTCTGTGCGTAAAACAGATTTTTTATGCTCTATGAGCCCAATTAACATCCGTTTCCCCTTGGAGTTTACCGCTTATAGCGAGTATAATGAAATAAAATAAATAAATTAAAAAAAAAACACCAATGAGCCTAGCCCCAAAGTAAGCACTGTAAGGCTTGTGTTATGGAATACCAGGGTATATAAGCATATTTATATAGAAATACATATTAAACATCCATGACTGGAGTAGAAATGCTCGGGATTCGAACCCGGGACCTCTCGAGTCGGTGACACCATGAAACGCGGCGTACGAACCACTCGGCCACGGAGTTCGTCAAATGACAGTATGATAAATAAATTAATATCCTCGAAAATAGTTGATTAATTATATATCTCTACTAGCTGTGCACCGCGGTGTGACCCACGGTTTATTAGGGATATTTTCGCGCAGTAAAACGTAGCCTATGTGTTAATCCAGGGTGTCAGCTAACGTTTCCGTTTAGACGTGAAGAAGTAACAAACGTACACACTCACAAGCTTTTGCCTTTATAATATTAGTGTGATAACAAAATTAAGATGTTGGTCCTTCGAGCTGGATATGAAGCAGCGACCTATAGGCAGTATGTACGCCATGTTTCATGGTGTCGCCAACTCTAGAGGTCTCGGGTTCGAATCTCGGTGGGGGCAGATGTTTGTGTGATAAATACATAACATACATTATATTTAAAGAAAATATAACTAGAAAAAATTCCACGCGGATTTTTTGAGTTATATTTTCTTTAGATTTAAACATCAAGCAGTTACATGCTTAAAAAATAAAAATTGTAACTATAATTGCTATTTCTTCTTTCAAACGTTTAATACTTGTAAAAGTATTCGTTTGACATTGTGGGATAATGCGAAGAGATGGCTCTGAATTTCGACTCGACCATCAGGGCCGCGGTAGCATAATTGGTTAGTGCATTCGACCGGATAGCGAAGGGTGCGGGTTCGAGTCCCGTCTGCTGCCTGGTCCGCGTGGATTTTTTTCTAGTTATATTTTCTTTAGATTAAAACATGAAGCAGTTACATGCTTAAAAATAAAAATTATAAATACATATTATTTGTAAATATTGTCACATCATTATTTAACGCTGTCAAGTTCTTTTCGCCAGTTTTTCTCAAAAAATGTCCTTAACTGGTGGTAGGGGAAAAAATATGCACAATTCAAATGAGTTCTTTTCTTAATTCCTATTTCAATAAAGTTATTTGACTTTGATATATTGTCTTGCGTCGCCTCTTCCAATTCGTTTTTATTGAAATGAAACTTCTTTACGCACGCTTGACTTGGGGGGTAAGATGGCGAATGCATTACGCGTTACGAAAAGTGTGTTCGGGCGAGGCGAACGGAAGTTGAGTGGGGAATATAAGCAGGAGGAAGCAGTGCGCGAGCACATTTTCTTTCTCTCTTTCTCTTATAGCTAGTAAATGAAATATGTATATGTACATACAAGTATATATTTTACACATATATATATATCTTTATATATATAATTCTTCTGTGAGTGTGTATGTCACTGAACTTCTCTTAAACGACTGGACCGATTTTGATGAAATTTTTTGTGTGTGTTCAAGGGGATCTGAGAATGGTTTAGATTCACAATTTTGTCCGCTGGACAACCCCTATTTTTTTAGGGCGGTACGAAGTTCGCTGGGTCAGCTAGTCTTTATATATATAATTTTTCTGTGAGTGTGTATTTCACTGAACTTCTCTTAAACGACTTGACCGATTTTGATGAAATTTTTTGTGTGTTCAAGGGGATCTGAGAATGGTTTAGATTCACAATTTTGTCCGCTGAACAATGTCTTTTTAATTAATTTTTAATTTATTAGTAGTTGTTGATTTTGGAATGTTTTACATTGGATCCGACAGACGGCGCTACCATACTAGACAGGGCAACGTCTGTCGGTCCGCTAGTATATATATAAAAGTTTCACTTCAGTCGTGTGGTCATAAGCACACTAGTTTTTTTTTCGAAGCACATTTCAATGATATGTTAATATTTTTTTATTTTACAGGTCTTCTATCAATATGGAAGCCCAATGATGCAATAGCGGAGATTATAAGGGAAGGAGTATGGATGGAAGTTTTAAACGTTGTGCCTACAGCAATAAGGTACGTATTGCAATGACACTTCTATAGCTAACTTATAAAAGTATAAATATACTATACTTTGAAAGTTTTCTGTCTTGAAAAATATTTTGAAATAATCAAACCCTTAATCGTTTCATTTCAACTTCTTTCAATATACATTTCAGTTTGCCAGTTTGAATTTTTGTGTTATGCTTTTGATAAGAAGCAGATTGAAAAAATCAAGTTTATCATAAAACTATAGTACATACAAAAAATGCATTATTTCATTACGTCAAACATTATTATGGCGTTTTCAGAAATAAACATTATAATTTATCTTTTTAAGGTACGGAGAAATACAAATATCGGCTGGCAGAAACACCGTATTCCGAGACAGCAAGTATACGGAAACCGACGAGATGTTGCCATACACAAAATCTCTGAAAAGAAAGTGTTACCATATAAAAGAACTAGCTAAAAACCCAATCATGATCACGGATTACAACGAAATCGACACTGTAGGATTTATATTCCAAATAGATCCACCTACGGCTAACTTTGATCATACTAAGCAGCCATTTCAAAACTTATATCTGACAGATGCAGATAAACACATAATCTGTGTCAATTTCTGGGGAGGTTTGAAAAAGTTTGGATACCAAAACGTTTTAAATACCGGCCAAGTTATAGCCTGTGTAAATTTGCAAAAAAGATCTGGCAACTCCAAGAAAACTATACCTCATTATCGCGTGACAGAGTTCAGTTATTTCACGAAAACTCCCAAGCATTTGGAAGCCAGAAATATGCTGGAAGAATTAGAGAAAAAAATGGCTGTATTAGATAAGAGAAAATATTGCCAGGAGTGTCTTGTTTTGAGGAATAACTTCAACAAGATTTCGGGTTTTAACAACGAGAATATTTCGCCGTACAGAATTAACAATAATCATAATTTAACTAGAAACAAAATATTTATCGACTCGCCGTTGGCAAATAAACCTGTCGACGACAATTTGAACCTTACGGGCCTCGATTTTGAGTCTACATTCAAACAGGAAGAAATGTCTCCTCAACAGTTACTACGTAAGAAAAAAGTCAATGAAAAGATAGCAAAATTAAAAATGTACGGAGAACCGCCACCTTTGAGTCCTATACACATAATCAACAAATCCAAGAATGCCTTCAACTCTTTCAAAAGTCCTTTAGCCACAAATGACAATGTTGCCAGTTTGAGAAAATTAGCAGAAAATAGTAGGAAAAATGAAGACTCTGCCATACAGTCTAGTCCTATTTTGTGTATGAACCGTACTTTTGTGAAAAAAGGGAATCCTGTCCGATTGAATTTTTCGAAAGTTCAAGAAGATAAAGCTGATGAGAAAGAAGTTGATCATTTTGCTGAAGATTTTGATGCAAGTCCGCCTTTGAGTTTGGATTAAGTTATTAGTATCTAAGGTAGGTGGACCATGGAAGGCCACGCTCCTTTGAAGGCCAACTATTAAAAAGTCGTAGTTATCGACATGTAAAGACACATCCCTTTTACTAAATACTAAGCTCCATCAAACTCAAGGCCACAAACGCGGCGGCTTGACGACCGCGCCATTATTGTGGCAGTGCGAGCTCACGTTTCGTAGACTTCGGTCGTCGACGTTGCAGTTGTTATTCGCGCGCTTAGCAAAACGTAAGTTTTTAGTCAATAACCTATTATTATCTCATATTTTTTACTGTATATTGTTGTATAAGGTTATGTTTATGGTTTCTAAAGAATAAAAACATGGTTTTAACTCGATTTAAGTTTAAATATTGGCAGTGTTCCTAGGATGGCCGGTGGTTCCTTATAAGGCCAATCGAAAATTTGACCGTTGGCCTTGCTATGGTACATGGGCCTTACAAGAACCATTCACAAACCATGAACATATGAACATTTACTTTTTAGTTATAAATAAGTACGTACCGTTACAGTTAAAACAGTGTTTTATATTATAACATTTTTACTTTTAAGCGTTTATAACTTTTTCAACTCGGATTGAATAACATTTTTTTTCATAATTATTTTATTAAGTGGGTAATTGAACAGATGATTAAAATTTATGCGAATATTTCAGATTTTAAAAATGTCGGAGTCAAAACCTAGAAAAAAAAGAGGTAGTACATGGGATGAAGACAGTTTAAGACGTGCCATGGAAGCAGTACAAAATAATAAACTTAATACAAATGCTGCAGCGATAAAGTTCAATATTCCAAGACGCACCCTTAGAAACCATATATTGAGCGGTAACAGTGCTAAAATTATTGGGAAGACGACTATTCTCACAAAACAATTAGAACAAGATTTATCGCAGCGAATCATACGGTTTGCAAAACTGGGTATACCACTTACGCCTAAATTTATCAGAAAACAACCCTTTTTTTTTTTTGAGAGGTTTAAAATCAAACACTCGTTCAATATGTCAACTAGAATGGCTGGACGCAAATGGCTTAAAATGTTTTTATCTCGAAACCCATCAATATCAAAAAGAAAACCCCAGTTAATGAATCCAGCTAGAGCTCAGAAAATGAATAAGCCTATTGTTAAACACCACTTTGAAGAAGTGAAGAAACTCTATGAAGAGTTAGATATTATTGCACATCCAGAACGTCTATACAACATGGATGAAAAAGGGTGTCGCATTACGGTCCACAAACAAAATGTAGTTTTGGCTGAAAGGGGAAATAAAAGAGTACATCTTGTTGCTCCGGAACACGCCGAGAACGTAACAATAGCAATGTGCGTAAATGCTGTGGGTACTGCTATACCGCCTATGATTATTTTTAAAGGGATTAGGCACAGATCAGAATTAGCAGAGAATTTGCCACCTGGAACACAGGTAAGCATGGCACCCAAAGGCAGCATGACCAGTAGCTTATTCGTAGAGTTCATTGAACATTTAGCACAACATAAAGTATCCGGTAAGTGTCTACTTATCTTTGATGGCGCAAAGTGTCATTTATCATATGAGGCTCTGGAAGTAGCAGATAAAAATAATATAGTACTATACTGCTTACCTTCAAACACGACGCACGAACTCCAACCTCTAGATAAATCAGTGAATCGGTCCTTCGAACATCACTGGGATGAGGAAGTTCTAAACTACCTGTGCAATTCTCAAGAGAGAACTTTAAACAAAGCTGCATTTAACAAAATTTTCCCGAACATGGCCAAAGTGTATGACTCAAACCAATGTAACGAATGGATTTAAAGCCACTGGTTTATACCCCTTTGATCCCGATGTCATACCCGAAGATGCTTATGCTCCTTCCATTGTAACTGAAAGACCTTTATCGGAAATGTTACAACACCAGATGGACCAACCACTTATATCTGTTCAAGTCTCGCCTCCTATGTCTGAAGTTAAGAAAGTGTCAGAATTGTCGCCAAAATCTGCAGCTGCAACACAAAAAAGTAAACCAGTTCTTGTTTCTTACAGTTTTTCAAGTGATGATTCAGACTTAGAATTAGGTATTATGGGAAATGATCAGTGCCACCACGTAAGTTCAGTACACGTTGAAACCGATGCAGATACGAAACATGACCCTCAACGATCTCTGTACGATAATCCTCTTCCGAGCACGTCTGGCTTGCAACAAAATATCGTCTGTTCTAGCTCTGAATCTGATCTTGATTTTAATCTTGGTGAATCATTTATAAAAGAAAACTACATGTCTAAACTTCAAGTCTCGGATCTATACAGCTTTTCTACCTCATCTGATGATGATCTCGAACAGAAAGGAGAAATCACTCCAAAAAAACTATTAGTGCAAAACAAAAGCTCAATTAAAACAAAAGCTCAACTAAAGAGTCATGAGACCATATCTTCAGATGATGACGAGCCGTTAATTAAGCTAATAAAGGATAAAGAAGAATCGTTTCATACTTTTTTGCCTACTCCAAATTACGCTACGATAAAGTCTTCACGTCCACGGCAAAAAGCTATTAACTATAAGGGACAACGAATAGTAAAAGATTTATTTAAAACTGGAGATAAAGAGAATAAGATGAAGCAAACGACGAGTAAGAAAAATGGAAAGTCTACAATTAAAAAAGGTCAAAAAAAGAACACCAAAAATAAAAATGATCCTGTAAAACGGCTTAAAAGAATAGTACCAAAACAAAACAATAAAAGATCGAAAATAGAGAAGAAGAAAAGTGCAGAAGATGAAGAGAAGGAGTGGTACTGTCATGGATGTGGTGAGTGTAAAATGAGAGACATGAGGCAATGTACCCAATGTCAAAAGTGGTATCACGAGGAGTGTATGGGTCTCACTAAAAAAGATCTCATATTTATATGCCCAAATTGTGATTAATCTATCCAAAGTTAATATCTTTTTAGTTTCTAAATTAGTTTTCGAAATTAATCTTGATTTTGTTATAATTATTTTCGTCTTTTAATCTTAAGAATACTTAGTTGATTTTAAATATTCCTAACTACAAGACTGACTATGTGCCATGATAAGTTTTTTATAATTACAGTAGTCTGTAGTTTCTATTATTTTATTGTAGTAATTAATATAAAAAAGTCATTGTCACACTTTATTGTTAGCTTGGCCTTCTTAGGAACATTGTGGCCTTACAAAGAACGGACCCATAAGAAGGCCATTTTGGATAAAAATAAAAGTTTTTAATTTTATTATAAAACACGTTGGCAAGTTCTTTGTTGCTAATATGATACTTAATAATACTATTTTTAAATAACTTCCATTAATATATTCTTAGTTACACGATGGTGTTCAAGTAATGTTCATTAAGTTTTTTATAGATGATTAAAATACATTGAGCATTTAATGTTTCGCTTAAATGATGGAGCTTATTATGTAGTTTTTGTAAAAGCAGATATATATATTGTTACCACTCTATTTTTAAGTTTAACGACTGATGTATAATATTGGCCTTGTTTGGAGCCGTGTTCCTTGCAAGGCCATTTGGAAGAGCTTTATAAAACTTAAATTTAATAAATAGTGGTTAAAGTTAGTTAAAAAGAAAGTCATTTATATGGTGCGCAATAAAACAAAATATTACTTAATAATTGGTTTCCTTAATTTATCCAGTAAATAAACGAATAAAAAGTGTTTACTCGTTAGAGTGGCCTTCCATGGTCCACCTACCTTATGTTATGATCAAGTTGGCATTTTTTGAGAAAAAAAACTATAATATTGTTGTTTTGTGTATATGTTAAAATATAATGTGAAATAATGAAAATAATTCAAATATTTTAATAATAACTTTTATTATCGTTATAAAGTTCAGTGATATATTTCCTAAGATTCTGTAAATAAGTGCCTGAATGGAACGTTGTTTAATATTTTATTTGTAAATAGAAATGTGTACAATTTAATTGTTATAAGCGATATTGTTTGTATAATAAAAAGTTACGTTTTATTTATTTTGCGGTTTGTTTTTTTTATATTCTTCAGATATGGCGGGATTCGAAACCAAATCTTGGTTGTTGTTGCCAACGATATTAAATACCCTAGATACACCACGAGCGCTCAAAATGTGTCCCAATCAAGAAGTGCTTGAACACCACTCAAGCACTTCTTGATTCACAGTCACGCGCGGACCGGTACGGTAAAAATGCGAAAATAATACTTAGAGTACGAAAAGTGACGTTTTTTCGACAGATATCTAGTCCATGTTTGTTAATTTAACGCATTTGAAGTAAATTTTGATGTAATACTTACTATAAACTGGTTTAAAATATAGTATTTGTGATATTGAAATGCATTGTTAGTTAGTTATACGTCGCCATATAGCCGTCTCTTTTTCTCGCGGTCCGTGCCTGCTACATTGCTAACAGCGCGTTCAGAATTGCGCGTAGAGCCAAAGAACTAAGGTCTAAATTCTTCCGCATATAGCAATAAGTCGTAAAATTTTACGAGCTTGCATTTAGAACTATCAGAAGTCCTTGACGCATGCGTTTTATTTAAGACAGTATCTATTAAAGGTTACTTTCAATATTTAAATAATGTCTTATATTAATTTTGACTACGCGATCATCTTACGGAGCTCCGTGAATCATTCAATGTACCTTTTGGACAGGTTTCAGGCACGATTTTGTTCGTGTTGGTGTATCTAGGGTATTTAATATCGTTGTGTTGTTGCACCAAATCAGTCGTCAAATATCAATCAACATCTTATCTACGTACATTGCTTGTTTCAAACTTTTTCATCAGCCTATGAACGTCTCCGCTGCTGGGGCACAGGCCTTCCCTATGGACTATGGATGGAATAGGGAAATTGTGCCATTATCCACCACGCGGGGCCAGTTCTGATTTGCGAGTGCTAACGACTGCAGATGCAGCCGGAACCAACAGCTTAACGTGCCTTCCTAATCACGGAGGAGCTCGAGATAGCAAATTTTTGGTCACAACCCATTTAATGACCAACCACTGGTAAACTTTAACGATCGCAGCCGAACGCACTCGCCACTAGCGCCATCGAGCTCCTCGAACTTAGTTTGAGTTAAATATGTTGACCTGACTTCTTAATAATATTCGTGCCAATGCAGTACTTTTTGAGTTTATCCCGGACATACATACAGACAAAAATTCTAAAAACTGTATTTGTGGCTTCGGTATCGATTGTATATCATACCCCAAATATTCTTTTAAAAAAATATTCAATGTACAGTTTTGACTTTCTTATTATTATATGTAAATAGATCAATGATGTCTATTCTGGCATGATTCTCTAAAGCTTAACTTAAATTTGACAACAGTGTATCCTTGTCCTTCTCTATACAGAATGAAAGGGTGAGACTGACCTTAAATTTAGTTTTAAGTTTAGAGAATCACGCCAGAATTGACACCAAACACATAGGTATACCCATTTACCTAGCCCAAAGTAAGCACTGGAAGGCTTGTGTTATGGGATACTAGGGTAACGGATAGAATACATATAATGTACATATATAAGTAAATATATACAGGGTGTTTCTTTTAGGGTGTCAAGCCAGTGCGACTGCAAGCTGATAGTGGATTACCAAACCTATCAATTTAACCCTCATGTTTGTTATACAATTTTTCGTAGTTTTCGAGTTAGAATTTTTTTCGTCAGTTTTTACGATTCAACGATGAGACAACTTGGAAAAAGTGTAACTTTGTTTTGGGTCGACTTTTCTTCGATTTTTTAAGCTATTGTACAGCTTTTATCTCAGGCTTTAAGCGTGGCGCTCGAGATTTCTCGAGTTGGCGACACCTTGAAACTGGTTTTCACAAATCATTCGGCCACAGATGTCGTCAAAAACTCGCAATTTACTCATTATAATTCTGCACTTACTTCTACCTAATTTTGTTAAAACAATCTAAGAATATATTTTTAAACTGGTTCTATTTTAATGGAGTTAATTGCACAGCAAACACGCAAACAAAAATTCTTCATTACTGGTTGGCTCAGTGTGTACTCAGCTTATAAAATACATTTTTAGTTGTAGCAACTTTTGAAATCATCAGCTGTCAAGATGTCATGTCAAGGTGACCTTCAAAAAACGAGTTTGACGTCTTATAACCTCTAAAACTATTTTCTATCGGTATTTCTACCCGCGTAGACACGTATTTTGCGTCGAAACACTTGTAAATATCCGCCGAACTACGTACATGTGAATGAAACCAACATTCAACACGTGTTCAGTGAATTTTTTAGTGATAAATTCTGTGTAAAACACTCCGTAAATTTACAGTGCGAGTTTTGTATTTTAATCGGTATGTATACAATTTATTGACTCTTGTTTTAATGTAGTTTTTATTATTTGTTCATGAATGAACAAACATGCGGCGTGGTGGCTAAATTTAGCGAGAATTACCTAACTTCTGTATGTAAAACGCAAGCGTTCTATCATCAATTTTTTTCTAAACTTCTTTGCCCGAAAACCTAATTTACTTACTCAATATTTTTTAAATAATCAGTTTTCACGAGATAAAATTAATACAAATAAATTTCGGTAGTAACACATTTTTATTGCATGTATTAAAAATAAAATTCAAGATTTATAGTATTTCGTTTTTTTATATAAATTTGTATATAACTAACCTCTAAAAAGTTTTTATCATAACATAAATGTAACAGAATCAATGTTAAGATTAGCCTAGAAATGTCGCAGTCAAATACAGCCTAGAAAATATTTAGAGCAAGACTGAATGAATGGAAGTGCAAGAACATGAGTTTATTATATAGCTGAATGATTGCATGCAATCTAAATAGATCTTTATCATCATCTAGAATCTATAAATAACTAAATATCTCCACACTTACACCAATTAACCTAGCCCCAAAGTAAGCACTGTAGGCATGTACTATGGGATACTAGGGTAACAGATAGAACACACATTCTGGTACATATATAAGCATATTTATATAGAAATACATATTAAACATCCATGACTGGAGTACAAACGCTCATATTGATCACACAAACATCAGCCCCCACCGGTATTCGAACTCAGGGCAGATATAATAGTAATATAATAGTTTTATTTACAGATATAATAAATTGCTTTATTGGGATAATAACTATATCATCATAATGAAGCAATATACTCTGAATAGCCACTTATTCAGAGTATATTGCTACCATGAGCGACAAGAATCAAAGATCGTCATTATTTTCTGTGATCAATGTAAGTAAGAGTAGATTACGATCACTAAATATGGTAACACAGAGCATCTATCTCTTGCATTGATCACTAATAAATTGTCATGTTTTCATTCAGTGTAACATTATTTTTCTAGCATAGTTTAGTTCTATATAAGGAAGGAAACAATGACATTAGTAAAATGCTATTCTTTTCAGTAGCAACTCATATTTTAATAATTACCTAATTAGGTGTAGTAACTTTACTTATATATCCTCATTGTTTTGTACAGTGAATACTCAGTAAATTGAAACGAGTTGTTAATGTTAATCAAAACAGTGGAAAATCCGTAACTCTGTTTTTCCATTTATCCGTTAATGTTAAAATAATTTCTATGTAGTTTGCAGAAATTATTGATGTTAAACAAAAATCTGTTGTATGAATACAAGACACAAAAAAAACATGTATACTTACATCTGTTCCATATAACTATACTTAAGTTATGGAACAATATAACAATATACTTGAATTCAAATATTATATGAAGAACTCCAACATTATTTTAAAACTTATGTTCAAAAATTACTAACCACATCTTTTCAATTCTAACAGCAATTACTTGAATAAGGTTACTTGATATTGATAAGTACTTTTAAAAGATTTGACAGTTTTACTAATTAAACTAATTTAGTGAATATATATATGTATAATTAAGAAATATAATATTTATTACAATTTAGTGCTGCTGATATTGTTTGGTTCAACATTAATGATTTGATAAAGTAAGCAAAAAATGTAATTGTTTCTGCTTACAAACATAGCTGAACAATAAATGATGAAATTTTTATTACATGATGCTGCCTTTATCTCCCAAGTATGCCAAATTTGAGTTACTTATAAAGAGAACAATTGCTAATAAGATTTATTTCTATAACAATTACAAAAAGGCCGTTTTTCTATTCATCTCCCTTTTATTCTTGAGTTTTTTTCATCTTTCATTTCTCGCAACAGAGTTAGCATTACTTGTCCAAGACCCAATTTTACTTCATAACAATATTCATCAACAGCGATTCAGCTATTTATACTTAAAAATTCAACAAACCAACAGAGTCATTTCATTGAATGTATAACAAGAGGAGCTCGATGGCGCAGGTGGATAGCGCCGTCGGTCTGCGATCGACCGACATTGCAAAAGTTAAGCTACTTTCGCAATGGTCGGTCATTGGATGGGTGACCGAAAACTTATTATCTCGAGCTCCTCCGTGCTTCGTAAGGCACGTTAAGCTGTGAGTCCCGGCTGGATCTGCAGTCGTTAGCACACAGCAATCCGCACTAGGCCCGCGTGGTGGGCCGCGGCCCAATCTCCCTATTCCATCCATAGGGAAAGCTTGTGTCCCAGCAGTTGGGACATTAATAAGCTGGTGATGATTAATGATCATGATTGAAAACATTTCGTGGTAAGAATGGATTAGTACAGTTATCACAGTAATAATATTATAAAGGCGAAAGTTTGTAAGTGTGTATGTTTGTTACTTCTTCACGTCTAAACGGCTGGAGCGATTTTAATAAAATTTGGTATGGAGATAGCTGACACCCTGAATTAACACATAGGCACACATTTTACTGCGGGAAATTATCCCTAATAAATCGTGGGTAACACCGCGAGGCACAGCTAGTAAAACATAAAACTGGTTATAATATGTTCTTAATTCAATATTAAAGTGATAAATATTCAGTTATTTGAATATTAGTATAGTATAGTAGTATATAGTAAACACTTGTGTAACAAGTTTATCTGTGTAGTAATTAGGTATATTGAATTAATTCACAATTGTATAACAGGACAGCACTCTGTTTATCACCAATAATTTTATCATTGGCATTCCACAAATACGTTTGTTTAATCTACGGTTATCAATAGACTTCAAGAATAGTTAAACGTGGTTTTTAGGGTTCTGTACCTCAAAAGGAAAACAGGGAAACCTTATAAGACCGCTTTGTTATCTTTTTTTTATGTTTTGCCAGGCAGGCAAATGACTCTACCCCACCTGATGTTAAGTGATGATAAAGTCGAAACGCGAAGATAGCTGGTACAGCAAGTATAAACTGCCACATCAACCATCCTCACCTTGTTATTTTATCTGTCTGTCCCTATGTTTGTCAATACCCGTTTTCCCTAGAACGCGTGGAGATATCGAAATTTATACTCAGGTCTTACAGTCTCTTGAAGCTGCGAAAATCGAACTTCGATGATATATTTAAAAAATACGCACACACTCACAAACAAACACACACACACACACACGCACGCACGCACACACACTGAAACGCATATATATAGTCGTGTGACGCTCGTGACGCGACGTCACGACTTTTTTACACCCCGTCCGAGAAAAAAGATTTACTTCAAAAAGTTCCTTCAGTTTAGTTGTCTGTCTGTCAAGCAAGACCCTTAGACTTATCACGGGAATGCGTGGAGGCATCGAGTTGAAATTAAAACCATATACTCAAATCAACAGTCCCATAAAGCTGTGAAAAATCACAATTGTAATTTAACGTAAAAATAAAAAAGAAACGTAGGTACGCAACATAAATCTTCTTTTCACGAATTTGTACGGAAACCTCGGTGGGCGAATCCGACTCGAACTAGTCCGGTTTATATACATAGTACGATAAAAAACATATTTGTTCTTCCTTGTTTGTCACAAGACAGTGTCATGTAGTTGTTATTTACTCGAAACTCGATGGTGCATTGGTTATGTTCGGTTCGGCATGATTGTTAACCGATTAACGATCGTGGTTGTTATGCAACTTTCGCAATGGCCGGTCATTGGATGGGTGACCGAAAAGTTAAGCCGTTGGTCCTGCACCTGCAGTAATTAGCACCCACCAGTGTGCTGTGGGCCCGTGCAGTGGCGGCGCTAGACCACATGTGGACGTCGGCGACATCAAGTTCGCGACGCCTATTTTACTTCGCAGTAAAAACCGTTAAATTAAGTGAGCCATATTATAAAACAACGTATGAGTAAACGAGTTTTATTGTTGATAATCAAATGATGACAAAAAATAATTACAAACATAGAAATTTAATTACAAAAATAGTGTTACCAGAGAGACGATTCTGAATACCCGTAAAGTACTACTCGCTTCCATCACGCACGTGTTAGAAAATAATAAAAGTCATTATCATCTGCTTAGCTTTTTCCCCGAATTGTTCGGGGTCGGCTACCTAAGCCAGGCCAGGAGAAACGAAAATAAATAGGTAACTTGTAAAAATTTTTTGCGAGGCCCCCACAGGCGCGAGGCCGTCGGCGGTGGCCGACGTCGCCGACGCCTAGCGCCGCCACTGGGCCCGTGTAGGGGGTTACCAAATCGAATAATACTCGCTGAGCCAAGCTGGCGCCTCGACCATGAAGGATTTTCCTGAAGAGAGAACTTTTTTTTTGGTGACACAGGCAAAACCTCTGTTTACAGACGACGATGCCTTTAAGAGGCACACCCCCGAACGGACCTCACACCCAGCACTCGCAAACGTCACGAGCACGATGGGGCTAACCCCTAAAGTAACCCGCGCCATTTACGAGCACGCTTAACGGCGTACTATCCGCTAAAAAACCCTGCGAAGATCCCCGTTTAGGGATTCCTCCGCGTCCCCGAAGGGAGAACCTGGGAAACGTAGCTCAATGGCTGGCTTATCAATTCCGGGACATTTGCACCCCTCCCTGAAAATATAAAGCATCAAATCAAACCCCCCATCACCCCCGAGAATTAAAACATGAAGCAGGCCAGCGGTGTTATTCGTTTATTAGTTTGTATTGTTACGAAACTAGCACATTATCGGAATCCGGAACAATAAGGTCAATTTACTGGACACGGGACAAGCAAGACGCAAAATTCCGGGACAATCCCGGATATCCCGGCCATCTGGCATCCCTACATATAACACAACGTATTCCGAGAAGATTTATTTAATTCCGTAGCTTCTCTAAATTTTCGGGCGCCAAATGTTCGCACATCGCGTACGTAGAGTCCCTGACAAGTCTGGTAGTCATTTTTTCACAATTCAGCAACTTCTGCCCGCGGAGGGCGAAAGTACCTCTGCGCAGGCTGAGGTAACTGGGTAACAGACA